TTGTTTTGCTCTTCCTTTTCTAGGGCTTTGAGATGAAGTGTGAGCTCATTTATTTGTTGGTTTTTTCTTTTTTTGAGGAATGACCTCCAGGCGATGAATTTTTCTCTTCAAACTGGTTTCATTGTGTCCCATAGATTCCAGTATGATGTGTCTGTATTTTCATTTATCTCTAAGAATTTTTTGATTTCCTTCTTTATGTTTTCTGTAACCCATTGATCATTCAGTAACACATTGTTCATTTTCCATGTGATATAGGATTTTTCCTTCCTTCTTTTATCAGTGATTTCCAGTTTCATTCCATTATGATCAGATAAAATGCATGGTATTATCTCCACCCCTTTATATTTACTGAGGGTTGCTCTATGGCATAATATACGGTCTATTTTTGAGAAGGATCCATGTGCTACTGAGAAAAAAGTATATCCACTTGATGATGGTTGATATATTCTATATATGTCAGGTAAGTCTAGGTTATTGATTGTGATATTTAGTTCTGTAGTTTCTTTATTCAACTTTTGTTTGGAGGATCTGTCCAATGGTGAGGGAGGTGTGTTGAAGTCACCCATAATTATTGTGTTGTTGTCTATTTAATTCTTGAACTTGAGGAGAGTTTGTTTTATGAACATTGCAGCACCCTTATTTGGTGCATAAATATTGATAATTGTTATGTCTTGTTGGTGAATAGTTCCTTTTAACAGTATATAATATCCTTCCTTATCCCTTTTGATTAACTTAGTCTTGAAGTCAATTTTATTCGATATGAGAATGGCCATCCCTGCTTGCTTACGAGGACCGTGTGCGTGTATATTTTTTCCCAACCTTTCACCTTCAGCCTGTGTATGTCTTTTCCAATCAGATGTGTCTCCTGGAAGCAGCATATTGTTGGATTTGTTTTTTTAATCCATGTTACCAGCCTATGACTCTTTATTGGAGAGTTTAAGCCATTAACGTTTAGAGTTACTATTGATATTATGGTTTGTACTTCCAGCCATGTTTGATTATTTATCCTTTTTTTTTTTTAATTTAGTTTGTTTCTCCATGATTATCTTTCCCCCCGCCCTCTGTCTTTACTGAGGCACTTCCCACTGATGGTTTTGGTTATTGTTTTTCATTTCTTCCTC